GTCGAACTTAATTGATTTAGACGCCGCTCCAGCGTCGCACTTAATTCTTGCATTAGATTCGGCGCATGAGAAGTTCGCCGTCTAAACCGGGCCTTAATCGTTGTGTGATATTGCAGTGCACGCATTTGTCCATTAATCATATAGAGGGCAAAATTACTCAAATATGATTGGCTAATGATGAGAGCATTTTTTTTAATTCAACGCAAAATTACTTGTCATACTTGTACCTGATTGGCTGAGACGCAAGCGCGGAATACAAATAACTTACGAATAAATTTTGCCCTCTATGATTAACAAGGAATTGCATAGTTCCTCGTAAGATTAATGTTTAATTTCATTTGTGTTTTCAAAGTTTCACAAATTGAAACATTGAGCCTAACACGCGTGAAATTAAACCTTAATTTTACTCGGTGCTTACCTGTACTAATTTGTACATGGTTACGTCCATTGCCATTTGCCCGGGCACTAGGAAACTGCAAATGGCGTTCCAGTTAGGATCATCTCTTATTGATCCAGTGTTACTACAGGAGGAAACCTAAACTAAACTAACTTTATTTATACTGGATAGCTCTATCAGTTCTAAACTGTTCTTCCTAGAGGTCCAGTTAGGATCATTTCTTATTGATCCAGTGTTACTACAGGAGGAAACCTAAACTAAACTAACTTTATTTATACTGGATAGTTCTATCAGTTCTAAACTGTTCTTCCTAGAGGTCCAGTTAGGATCATTTCTTATTGATCCAGTGTTACTACAGGAGGAAACCTAAACTAAACTAACTTTATTTATACTAGATAGCTTTATCAGTTCTAAACTCAGTTCTTCCTAGAGGTCCAGTATATCATCTCTTATTGATTCAGTGTCACTACAGGAGGAAACCTAAACTAAACTATTTATACTGGATAGCTCTATCAGGTCCATACATGAAACTGTTCTAATTAACTAATTCGTGACTTCCGTCGTGAAATAAAGGCTATAGGGTCAAGAAAATAAAACAAAACCCGGTAATATATTTACTTTGCTATAAAATGCAAATCCTGTTTTAATTATCATGTGTTTTATAACAAGCCATTCTTAATTAACGCCACTTAAGCTCAATATAGTGCTTGTTTCTTGATTGTTTTCTTGTTGTAATAATTTGGCATGTTTACTCTTCGTAATGCATAAATAGATCGCAAACAGGTGGTGTTAACAATATCAAGGATTAATGTTCTTTTCTTTGTTCATATGGGTCAAATTATCTTCTGTATGCAAAGAAAATTGATGTGCAAAGGTTTCATTAAGGTATGATGTATTTTATATTCTATGTTTATAGTAATGTATTGTGTGTAGTCAATTTTACTCCAATTCTGGGTGTTCATTCAGTATGTTCAGTCTCGAGTACAGAACAAAAACTGTTAATTGGAATCATGATTAATTAACGTTAATTAGTTTACATGTTGAGAGAGTAACAAATTAAGAGCTTGGGAATGACCAATTGAGTAACAGAATAAGTGATAGTAACGAATTAGCCGCAGATAGTAAACTAAAGTGAGAATGAGCAACAAATTAATTGCAGGAATGTCCCATACATGAACACAATATTATATAATACATATTTATAATGTCACAAAATCGTTCTTCATGATCTTATGTCCATAAATAAACCATAAGTGATGAAGGCACAGTTTCATATATTATGTTCAGATAATAAGTTTCGGGCTGGCCAGTAGAGTTGCATTTTTCATATGCTGGACTATTCTTGAACAAATCTTGATTGTAGTACACCACTTTGCTTGAAGCTATCGGGCTTAAACATTCTTCAGAGGAGCTCATGCAGGCTTCACAAACTCTGACAAAATTGTCATCGGTTAATTCATGTTTGCAAAGAAATTGGCTGCACAGAAGCTAGGATCCTGCCTATAGCTGACCGCAATATTATCATTACAAGTTTGTAATATCGTTGTCAACGAACAAATATAGTTTTTAGCCAGTCTAAGAATTTCGACTTGCGTTAATTTTCTTTGTTCTTGTGTGGAGTTCAACTCATGAGGTACCATGCTTCTGAGAACTTGGAATGCAGCATTTAGCCTTGCTTTGCGTCCCCGTTCTCGAGCATTTCGTCTTTCTTGTCTTGGGGATTTCTCTGCTAGATTTGTGGTCTTTATTTTTGAAATGTTTGTGCGTTTTCTAGCGTCCTTCTGTTGAGCAGAACAGCTATGTTTCGTAGGGAATGCTGCCAAGAATTCGTTGGTAAACATTTCGTCATTTTCTGAGCTTAGTTCAGGTTTGAACGCCACTGATATATCAACACGAACCGCTACAGTTAATAGAGATAAAAATGAATTCAAATGAACAATAAAACTTAACTATGGTTTATTAAATCATAATCCTAACATTTCTATCAAAACTGCTCTCCTAAAGGGTCATCCCTTAGTCAGGAGTTATAGAAGATGGATTCTAAATTTTGGATAGCTCTATCAGTTCTATTCTTCATCTCCTACTCATTTATACCGTAACAATTGTTGTGGGCAAAAATAGTTGGCAACACTTGGAAACGTGAAAACTCTCTCATTGCCAAAAGGCAAAATATAGGCCAGATTAACTTGCTGTAGTGAACAAAAACTAGTCTTCAAAATCAGATAAACTTTACACGAGAATTAAAGTTTCATTTTATCACGATCAATCGACTCAATCAATTACCAGAAGAGTAAACTTGTTTTAAATTCATACAAACTCAAGATCAGTTAATAACAGGGTGTACGCATGCAATGACGTAGATATATCCTATAGTATAAACACTGTAGCAATATGAATTCTTTTTGTGGATCATTTTATCATTTTTTTTGTTTGGACGTGGTCATGCAACAATGCTGGCATTTTATACAATTGTTTCGCAAACCGATTCCCAGGGCGCTCAGTTTTGAAGTACAATGGTGCCGGACATGCGTGAACTCCAGGGTGCTGCTTGAAATAAAAACTTGTTAATTTTCAGATTATTTTCCCGCTGTGCAGTCACTTTAACCTCTTGCATGATCCTCGGATTCCTCGCAGTTGAGGTTTGTTTACTCTTAATGGAACCGAAATGTTTTTGTGATAGTGAGTTTATAACCAACTCCATGCAAGCAGAGAGCATGTGCTTCTGCCTTGCCCTTGGCATGTGCCAGTCCCTACGTTGACAAAAGGTCACGAAACATTATTGGTTTTTTACTCTCTGTAATGCTACAGAAGAATAAAACATTGGACTCATTATTTCTTGTTGTGTTGAGGACAGGTCGTATGGGAAATGTTGTTGTTTTAGCATGGTAAATATTCTGTGGTAAGGGTTGTTGTATAATTCTCTTGTTTCATTTGTAAGGAATTTTAGTATTAAACTTCATACAGAAATCACAAAACACCAGCAGTCTTTCTCAAGATTAGATGTGATATGTTTTGGTGTCAGTTGTCAGCTAAGAATCAAGCCAAATATCAGTTGTCGATTCCAAATTGCTGGTCGATTGTTTGACTGCTATCGGTTAAGATATTTTGTCAGTTGTCACTTTTAATTAAGTAATCTGTCACATGTTTTGTGAGAATTTAGTCAAAAAAGGCAAATAAAATGTCAGTAGGTCCAAGATGTCTATATACTCCGGTATCAAGAGTAACCATAAACGGACATCAAAATTGATCGATACTGCTGGGTACAGAAATGTGTTCCGAAAATACTGCACATAAAACCTTTAGGATCACACCTCAACTTTAGACTCACTCACTCACTCACTATAGAGTAATCCTATTTTCATAAATAAGCGTTTCCTTAACAAATACTTGAAATACTCGTCATTTTATTTAATCCCTCTTGAAATCGATCACTCATTCACTCATCAAGTTAGCTCAATAAATCTATTTTAAAGAATCTGAACTATCGAGACTTCACTATAGAAAAATATTTTTGTGACTCAGATAGACTCATACACGATATTCTGAAAGGTAGATCCATAAAAGTCAAAATTACAATAGTGCGCAAATGTTTCCAAATAATCTAACTACGAGTCTCTATAACTACACACTCTGTGCATGAAATATTTGAAGAATTCCTCCCAGGATATTTAGATTTACAGACGTTTTAAGTAGTTCTCAAGTTTTTCAAAAGTTACTGTTCTTATCGGTTGAATAAATTGTCTTCCTCCTACCTTGCCCATGAAGTGATTCCATTGCAAACACCTTGCGTCTTCAGATGATGACCTCTGTCAGCCTCGCGCAGCTACAACAAACAACATTGAAGGCGGAATGATTAAAACGCGCGCTTTTTATGTCATGGGCACGTGCTCGACTGACAGTAAATGGCTTGAATGAATATGTTCCCAGAGCTTGCGCACGTGATTGTTCTCTGTCTGGGTCAGATACCAGGCGTCAGACGCAGCGATAAAACCAATATAACAGTCCAATATAGCGCAAGTTCTCAAGGCACACGTGGAAACACTATGAGGGATGGCATAGCATAATTAGGTATCATTTTTGGAAAAGGGAAAATGTGCATCTTCGAATTATCATAGACAGTAGCTTTGGAAAAAGCTACTAATATACTTCAAAAAAACTTGAAAACAAGTACTGTATATGCTTCCAAATAACTGTATTTTAAAGTAATTCGAAACCTATTCCTTAATTAATAGAAGAAATTCTGTAGAAAATGACATTAAAGGTAGATATACTTGAAGGATTAAACTACCTGAACAAGAAATGCGACGTTTCAGGTGTGGGGCCATCGTCTGGGTATCGACAGGTCGAAGTTTTCGTTAATTTTTTCAGGGAGTCTGGTCTTGTGATGATTCCTGTATATATTCAGTTATCGCTATCTGGACTGAAACTCCACAACCAACATTTATGGTATGCAATATTTCAAAATCAAACTTACCTTAAAAGATTACAAACAGTTTTCCAGGAAGGTAAGGCAGTCAACGTAGCTCTTGAGACCACTTAGCCAAAGTGTTCTACGCAGAGTCGCTACACTGTTTCTGATTTAAGAATATGACATGTCTCTAATCCCTTTCCAGCGCATGCGTAATAAAGACTGAAGGTATTATCCACAATGAATGAAAAGACATGAAGTCACATGTTTCGATGTCTTGTGCGTGAAACATATGTGTGTTTGAGGAGAGATAAGAAATTGCCAGGAGGCGACTACGGAAACGGTCCCATAACCTTGATCCATCTGTTGTAGCCCCTCCCAGTTTTAATATCGTATTGTCTCAGAAGAGACATCCTTTCCTTTTCTTAATGTTAAGACTCCATTTCAATTAGCCTTGCCAGCCAATTAATACCTCAGGCTATTTGTGTGACACTATTAGATCCAAGATAAGCATATGTTCTCTTGGAAATTTGATCTTGAATGCAATTTGATGTTGAATAAATATCAGGGTCTCTATTGCCCTTAGTTTTGACCAAAAAACATAATAATTGGGGTAGTATGATTAACAATTAGAGAGGACAGCTTGTTTTATATTGTTCAAAGTTCTCACGGTCTTATTTTAACAAATTGTGTTATATTTATGGCATACAACTTCCATGGAACAAGTGTGAGTTGTCACATATCATTGTGGAATGGTTTTCAAGGTGAAATATGAGTTTAACATGGTGAACGCGCTGTTTACACTAACCTTTGGAAAATAACGGCATCGAGTATATTTTTAAAACTTTAAAACATGTGGTTAATTGTGTTTTAAAAGCGTGTTTTAACAAAGGAACACATGTAGCCATCATAAGTCCCTGCATTATATTCTGTATTGAGCTGGACAGTTGTTGACGAGCTACAGTTCTTGGCTTCCATCTGTTACGTCAAGGCGTTTCCCTTCATTCCAATTTCACACATTTCTATAAAAACATCACCCCCTTACAATGAAATAGTGTAGTCTTCTGTGATTTGTATACAATAATCTTTATTTTAAAACAGATATATTTTGGAAAAAAAGATAAAATACAATTGTAAGACAACATGAAAATTGCAAACCGAAAACAATAGACATTTTATGTTTCGATAAAGTTTTCAAACAATACTTTGCTATGTTTTGCTTTGCTTTTTATATTTAAAAGTAATTTGTGATAAAATCAATATATTTCCTAGCATGTGCTTATGTTTTCAAAATAGAATTTAGAAAAAACAGAGGGTTTAAGAAAAAAAAAGCATCCCCCATTGAAATATTATTTATCGAACCTGACTCGTAGGCTAACACGTTTTTGTTACATTACAGAGGGTGTTTTTGCTCATTTATTCGTTAGGAAAACATTTTTCAATAGTTTCGTGCCAAAAAGATCTCACTTAAACCGGCGTTTATTAAATACCAAATGCTTTCATGTTTGAGAGGCTAAGCCAGTCTTTTTAATGCTAATTAATTTCTAATTCTCCAAACTTTAAATTGCGTCCTTTTGTGTGAATTGTTATAGTAGCACATTTAGCCGTTCTGAAGCAAAATCATTTAATTAATAACTGCAAGCATAAATAATTTCTAGATGAAATTTCATAACTTCGGACAGGACGAATAACGAGGTAGATGTTGAACAAAGACTTTGCAGGTTCTATTTCCTGTAACTCTTTGCCTCAAAGTTAATTTGGAATTTTTCATTAAGTCATGAGCTGGTTGGCTACTTGAGTTGATACAATGTATCGATTATGCAGTTGTTATCATATCAATTTCAATCCAGTATAATGACACTTGTTTGTTAGGCACGAGGCAGTCTTCATTGCTTTATGGCTTGACGAAACATTAACATAGCATGCTCTTATCAGCTATCTGCCTTTTTCCTCTCTTAATCGCGGATACTCAAAAGTAACATATTCTATATTTATTTTATATATGCATGGTCATTCGTTATAGAAACTGTTTGTACCACAACGAAAGTGACTTAAATAATTCAGTGTTTTTCGCCAAGCGATGCTAAGGGCAACTTTCCCAGAGTAATAGAGAACAGCAATTGGACGGTTCAAGCAATTTTAGGGTCTTCGACTTCCTAAATATGTCAATATCTTGTCATAGATGTCTCATGCTGCTCTGATTCTAGTTCATGCGTATGAGCGCACGTCAGCATTTCTATAGAGCAATTTTATGCAAGAATGCAACCATGAATAAATAGAATATAGCGTAAACCGCATTTTTGTGCTGGACTTGCTTCGTACGTGATATATGGACAATGAACACAAAGCTTTTTTGCAAGTATTTGTTTTCATATTTCCGGCGTAAACTCTATCAAGTATGTTTCCTGGGCAGCATATTATCTATGACACTTCATAATCTTTTTGGCGGTCAATAAGTGATTTACATTTTTCATATCTTGGCTTTCAAATACAGCATGGTAACATTCTGTGGTTACCAATTCCAATGAAAGATAACTTATTTCATTTTATTGAATTTAATACTTCAAATTGTATGGTCTTGCAAAATAAGATGAAATAAATGGATTCTGGATTGATATATAAAATGAATATAAATAATACTAACTAACCATCTTTGCTCTCGTGAAATTCTTTACCATCAAACCAAACTGTTTACCAAACAATTATTGCCAATTGGTAGTTGCCATTATTCCCATTAAGTTTGTTAATTTGTGAACTATATTTTACATAATGGCCTTAATGGTCTTTGTGGCAAATTCCTTTGAAACGTGTTCATGTTAATTTTCGGGAAACGTTTCAGACGGATTTTCGATATTCTATTTAATCAGGTTAAACCAGTTGTGAAGTTGACCAGCATTTCCTGCCCTGTCCATTTCAGCATTTCCTGTTTTCTGCTTGCTGAAATTCACTATTACCCATGCCTAAGTGGTCCACGTGCCTTTAATTGATCACGGATACCTGCTTGTGATTTGGCAACTCTAAGCTGACTTAATTGCACTTTCTCGCGCGATCTAAGTAGCTAAATAGCTTTACATAAGGCTAAGTGTGTTGTTTTTTTAAGCAGCTAAATAGCTTTACATAAAAGGCCAAGTGTGTTTTTTTTTAAGCAGCTAAATAGCTTTACACACTAGTTACCACACACGACGCTTTGTCCAAACTTAGCAACCGATAATAGAGATGGTAAACAAAATAGTGGAAATATTTTTTACGAATGTTAAGTTAGATATATGCAAGGCAAGCATGTCTTGAGAACGGCGCTACCTGAGCCGTTGCCATATTGATTGATCTTTGTCTCGTAGTAAAACAAGCGTGTGAAGAAGGTGAGCATGCGCAGTCCACGAAGCTCGTAGTCGTGGTAACTCGTGATAATTTCTAAAGCTCTATCGTTTTCAAACGTGCGGATCCAGGGCGAGGCCCCTTGTACATACGTTAAAATGCACAAGTTGTCACAGATCTGCAAACAGTTGTAACAAGGTTGTTGTGAAGCCAATATCAGGATGTGTTCGCACTGCTTGTTCCCAGTTGTTGTGACAAGTCTGGAACAAGTTGTTATCACCTTGTTACAAGGTTGATGACGGTAACAGACTTGCTACAAGTTGTCCCAACAAGACTAATACAGACTGTTCGTAACAATAAATAACAAAAATAATAACAAATAGTAAAATAAAAAAAAAAAACACCCAAAAAACAATTTGCTACGAGCTTGTTGTCATCAATTTGTTATCGACTTGTTACGTGCAGACGATGTCAGACTTGTTGGAATAACTTGTTGCGAGTCTGTTGGCCTCATCAACCTTGTTACAAGATGATAACAACTTGTCTCAGACTTGTTAACAACTGGGAACAAGCAGTCTGCCAACACATCTTGTTCACAAACTGAGAGACTTTATACACGTGTAGGACTATACCAAAAAAGAATAAAGGAACATGCAATAGAGACTCCTGATGAAGGTTTTCGTTTTACAAAATATAATCTGTTTTCTTGTAATTTTAGACTGTATAGATACAAAAAATGCAAAAATTACATTTGGTATATTAGCCTATGTACACCACTTTAATTTTCCTGTTTACTAACACAGCTGGGTTGTCCTTTGTTTGTTAATTTATAATTCTCTACTGTTCATATTTCGGTACTATGCTTTCTTTTACAAGCAAGGAGCTTTTCTGCCCTTCGACAAGTCTCTTTCAAGCCTGCTGCTCCGATCATTCGCGTGTCATGAATCTATTTTTACAAAAACTTTGGGTCTTGAAAATATTTTTAACGCGTTCTCAATCTCTCTTAGTTTATTTTCCAGGTCCATTTTTCTTTGCTTTATCCGCAGGTGTCACAGCTCACTGGCAGCGAGTTCAGCTCTCTTGTCATCTCTTTTTGTTCTACAAGAAAAATGTGATATGAGCACACAGGGTAATCAATGAAGTGATTTGCAAGGAACGAACGTCGTTTGTGTATGCTATACATCTATGCTAGCCTGTTCGTGCCAGTACAGCCAGCCTAGCTAGTAGCTAGGCAGCCTGCCATGCTAGCCACCCTAGCTAGCCAGCCTAGCCAGCCAGCCATGCTAGCCAGTAGAACCTGGTTGACACTATCAAAGTTGGTGTAATGTACTCAGGTGAATATGATGTGTGTGATGTTACTCTGAGTGTGACCACGGTGGGAATCGAACCTACGACCTTTGGAATACTAGCCCAATGCTCTGTCAGGCATATTTTTCAAGCTTGCCCGGTGTGGATATACACTCAGAGTAACATTGCAAGCAACTAGGTCAGTTTCCTCAAACACCTCTTACAAATCCTTCAAAACTTAGAATTTACCGATAAAAAATTCCTACTGTGATCACAGGAACTTTGATAGTGTCAACCAGGCTTATATAGACGGGTAGCAAAAAGCTCAAAAATAAAAATTACACAATTGGTCAGAGGGCGTTTTTAAATTTGATGAGAAATATTTATAGTGAAAGAATGTGAGACAACAACGTATTCTGTGATTCTGAAGTGATCCAGCATTCTTACTTTTCTTGAGAAGATCCAAGGTCTGCAGTCGTTCATCACGTGGCATGAGTGTATGCCCCGGTGGAATGCTGGGATCGGGCGTGTTCCTTATTCTGTCTTCTTCCTCAGTTTTCCATTCTTCTTGACGTTTACGTAAACTACAAAATTTAGCGACATTTAGACGAAATAAGTCACGACTTGTTTAACAAGAGTCGCGTACACAATGGTACCCTGGAGCCAGAGGGTATAAAAAAAACCCTGGGCCAGGGTAACACAATGGTAGGGAGGGTCAAATTCTCGTAAACCGACACCAATGGTGGACGAGTCACCAGTCTGAACCATTAGTATGGATCGCATTATTTTAGCTAGCTTCTCTCAATATCTTCAATAGACCTTTCCCCTTATGAGTGAAATTTTGATCTAGACAGGTCTGGACAAAAATTTCATCACAGCTTGAAAGAGCATCACAAAATTAGTAATATTCCGAAGTTTCGTTGCGAAATGTTGTAAAATGCGGATAATATAGCCGTGCGAAGTTTGCCGTTTTTCAGTCATTTTGCATTACAAACGGGAAATTGATAATCAGATGATCAAACTGATTATCAATTTCCCATTTGTAATACAAAATGACTGAAAAACGGCAAACTTCGCAAGTTCGCAAGGCTATATTATCCGCATTTTACAACATTTCGCAACGATGAAATTTTTGTCCAGGCTATCTAGATAAAAATTTCACTCAAAAGGGGAAAGGTCTATTGCCACTCATGATTCATTATACAGACAATCAGAAAACGATCAATCACAGTGGGGACCCCGGACATAGCAACAGGTCATGCTATGCAAATTGTTAATGATTTGCATTGTTCAAACTTTTAGAATTGTGTTTATTACAGGTTTATTAGCATAGCATGACCAGTTGCCATGACTAACTTCGCAGCTGAAGAATCATGATTTGTAGAAACCATTATAGAAACATCCCTCTAGAAACCATTCCAGGATTATAGATTCTAGCATTATATATTCTTGTTAGTTCATTTGGATAGTTTGTCGTGAGTTTACACTAACGCCCGTATTTTAAAAGTTCACTCACACTCAATGAGTGGAGGTTCAATCTGACTTTCTCTCGAGTGTCAATGCTGTTTTTGAATAGCTGGAGGGTCAGTGTCATACCTTACTATGTGACTACTCACCTTCCAGCTATTAAAAAACAGCATTGACACTCAAGGGAAGCTCAGATTGAACCTCCACTCATTGAGTGTGAGTGAACTTTTAGAATACGGGTGTAAGATTCATGATCCGTCATACGAACTATCAAGAATATATCAGAGTTAGTCTGACATAATTTGTTCCTAGAATCATTGCCAGAAAAGATCACGTTATTCTAGCTCGTTCATCTGGATTGTTTGTCGTGAGTTTACACTAAGATTCATGATCCGTCATACGAACTATCAAGAATATATCAGAGTTAGTCTGACATAATTTGTTCCTAGAATCATTGCCAGAAAAGATCACGTTATTCTAGCTCGTTCATCTGGATTGTTTGTCGTGAGTTTACACTAAGATTCATGATCCGTCATACGAACTATCAAGAATATATCAGAGTTAGTCTGACATAATTTGTTCCTAGAATCATTGCCAGAAAAGATCACGTTATTCTAGCTCGTTCATCTGGATTGTTTGTCGTGAGTTTACACTAAGATTCATGATCCGTCATACGAACTATCAAGAATATATCAGAGTTAGTCTGACATAATTTGTTCCTAGAATCATTGCCAGAAAAGATCACGTTATTCTAGCTCGTTCATCTGGATTGTTTGTCGTGAGTTTACACTAAGATTCATGATCCGTCATACGAACTATCAAGAATATATCAGAGTTAGTCTGACATAATTTGTTCCTAGAATCATTGCCAGAAAAGATCACGTTATTCTAGCTCGTTCATCTGGATTGTTTGTCGTGAGTTTACACTAAGATTCATGATCCGTCATACGAACTATCAAGAATATATCAGAGTTAGTCTGACATAATTTGTTCCTAGAATCATTGCCAGAAAAGATCACGTTATTCTAGCTCGTTCATCTGGATTGTTTGTCGTGAGTTTACACTAAGATTCATGATCCGTCATACGAACTATCAAGAA